GTAATATCCCAAATTCCAAATATTCCCTCTTTGCTCAATACCTTTTGGGCCTTAACTTGACTAAGAAAAATACTTACGTTAATCAAAACTACCATATGATAAAAATTTTGATGTTAGGCAAAGTATTGTTTGTGTAGAGTAATGTTAGTCAGGAAAAGTCAGCTGATCAAAATTTGTTTGTGTATGGAAATTTACGATTTTCGAAGATCTCAGCTATAGGGAAATGGGCTATTTTCAAACACAGAGTGATAAAAAATTGTTTAATGGCGAGGGAACACGAAATGGCAGATTGAAGACAATCAGAGCTTAAAGTACAAATCATTTAGTGAACTTTTAAATTTAACGCCACGGGACTAAGACATGCTATTTATAGCTTAGCAAAACTAATACTCAAATATTACACTTACAACTAAAACTCATATCAAATGACATTCTGGCATATTCTTTTTTGTTTATAAAGGTAAGTTTTATAAGTTTTATATTGATTAAAGGAGAACTAGTTTGAGAATGTTACATAAGCCACAAAGACACGGTCAACCTGCTGAGGAACGTCATGCATTTAAACAACTCTGTTGCTGCACCAAGGTTGAAACTGAGATCCCTGATCTGAACACGTATATTGATATTTATACGACTGGACTACGGCCATTGTACAAATTTAAACCTTTTAATATGTTTAACAGTGTATTGTTATGCTATTGGTAATATTAAAACTTGTTATTTGATTCATTTCCGATATCTAAGACTACTTGAATTATTTTGATATGATAAACAGTAAAATTCGAATGTTCAGTATGTGTTGGCCACAGCAGAAAATAAAACAAAAACCTATGAAGTGAAAAATATGATAAATACAGACAAATCAAGGGGTTATTTGATGTTAAAAATTAGTTAGAAAAAACCTTGGAGCAAGTTCTGCCAAAGAAAATAGTCATACAAAGATTTAAGAAATGTATGTTAATGCATAATTAATACTACACTACATTGCATAATGTAGTTGAAGTTTAAAAACTAAATATTCATACTCTATAATATCCAGTTTTATAAAAATGAAATTGTACAGTTAAACTGTCTAATTAAATTTGAAATTGAATACCGTATAGTCATTCTCTTAATACTTACCACAATGAATATTACTTACTGAATGGCATGAATCAAAAAACTTTGTTTTGTACTGCAGTAAAGATAAGTGGAAATCGGATGCATTTTATAAAGCATTGCGTTCATGTATCTTGTGTAGCCATGGACAACCTCTCAGCAGCCAATGGTGTGGAACTTGAGTTTTGATATATAACCACCCCTGTAACAGCAACTTTAACTTTGGTTCAATAATTCATTGGCTGTGGTGTCAACGCAGAAAAAAATCGATTGAATTTATTTTATAAAATAAAAGGATTTTCTTGGTTTCTACTATAACATGGTTCTGTACCCTTTTTCAAATGTGTAGATAATTATAATAAATACTTTTTTTATACAGGGTGTCCGGAACTCTCTACTAATATTTTTGGGCATTGCTCCTGGGTAAGAAACATACCTAAATATCACATTTAAATTGTCCGGAAGTCCTTAGTTACTCACACAGCCGCCCCTTTGTTTTTTTCAGTTATTAATTTTTTTCTAAAGAATGGTAAAACATACGAAATGGAAACTTTGCACAAACATTTATGACAACTAGACAAAGCTACAACAAAATTATGACGATTTTTTAAATTCATTAAACAAAATGGCGGCCATTAAAAATTTTGTTCCTTAAATAGCTCAAAAACCGTTGATTTTATAACATTTTAAATGGCCGCCATTTCGTTTTATGAATTTGAAAAATCGCCATATCTTTTTTTTCTAGCTTTGTCTAGTTGTCATACATGTTTGTGCAAAGTTTCCATTTCGTATGTTTTACCATTCTTTAGAAAAAAATTAATAACTGAAAAAACAAAATGGCGGCTGTGTGAGTCCCTAAGGACTTCTGGACAATTTAAATGTGACTAGTGTACCTGTTGCTCGAATTCGAGCAATTGCGAAGCATTACAGGCGACTCAAAGATTATGGAAATACTCACAATCTACGCAACAGTTATATATAAATAAAATCTTGTATAAATATCTTATCTTTTTTCAAAAAGCTGATCTTGTTTTTTTAGTGATTTCTACAAATTCTTCCCTCTCATGGCCGCATTTTAGGTTGATAACGATTATAAATGAAAATAAACATTATTTCTATTTCTTCCACTTCGTTGTGTTCTTTGAATTTGTCTATGTTTCCATTGTTTTCAAATCGGTTATTTCAATGATTGTTCAAGAAATGTAGAACAGTGTTAATTCAGTTTTATTTTTAGCCTATATCAAATTGTCCAGGATTTCTCGCTCTTTTCCATTCTAATAATTACACCAACCCAAGTTTCGTCAACAGATGCAATATGCCAACGAATATCACCTACGTACAATCTCCAAGAAGTGGTAAAAAAGGCAGAAACCAACCCATACAATAGATATAAGTTAACTCCAAAAGAAATCATTTTAAGAGTTACTGTGATATTAGGATTTTCCACTGATTTGGTAATAGAACATTATATTGCAAAACATGACACGATGCAGAAGAAAATCCATTTTAAAATAAGAAAAACCCATTGCAAATACTGGACTTCATTTTGACAAATTCAATAAATCACAATTTAAATATTAACAGCTGTTTCATTAAAAAGTAGTGTAGAATTATGCATATGGTCGTAATGTAAACAAATCTGAAGAGGCAACTTTAAAGGCTTCTGGGGCAGAGCCCCAAGGGAATTTACCTCGTTCCTCTTTTGATGGCTCATCTACAGACCAAGACCTTTCTTTAGAGACCCCTACCAAGTTTCTACGCCCGGCCGTTCTCTCAAATTAGCTGTGACAAAAACCCCGTTTTCCTCCATAAGAATAACATGGGATGGGAATTCAAAGGCCACTGGGGCAGAGCCCCAAGGGAATTCACCATGTTTCTCTTTTGATGGCTCATCTACAGACCAAGACCTTTCTTTAGACACCTCTACCGAGTTTCTACGCCCAGCGGTTCTCTCAAAATAGCTGTGACAAAGAAAAACAGTTTCAAATTAATATATAGATATTTATGTATGTTTCTTACCCAGGAGCAATGCCCTAAAATATTGGTAGAGAGTTCCGGGACACCCTGTATAGTGTGGCCTAAAACATTGGCATTGGTGTTCGTGTAGGCTGAATTCCAACTTGAAACTAGTTACACTTAATTTTTTATCTAATATTTTACCATTTATTATTTCACCTATTTATCCTACTTAAAAATTTGAACACCATAAAATAGACTCTAATGTAGAGTAAAGGAAAAAATGGAATACATCGAACTAATTTTTAAAATACTTTCAGGAAAGTACAAAATTCATCCCAAGCTAATATTTTACCGTCCAATATTACCTAAATCCTCAATACCCATTATTTCTACGATAATTTAATTGCGTCATACACCAAGTAAGCTAGAACAATGAGGTAAACCCCCTCATACCCAGTTGCCTGCTATCAGTTGAAATTGTCAAGAGTTAATTCAAACTATTTTTCAATAAATTGACAATTTTCAATAAATTGACAATTATGGTGTACTTTGATAGCAATTTAGATGATTTTTTACCATCCGTATATTTTTATCTCAGATCATTATCATTGTACGATGCAGTAATTGATGCTATATCATCAAACAATTGGTTCCAAGGGGTAACGTATGTTACTATCCCATATGATCGTTATTGTAGTACTAAGCACTAAGGGTTGTAGGGTTGTGGTTGCCTGATTGGTTCTGGTGGTTGTTATCTGACCATCAACACATTTTCCTCCTCCGGTTGTTATTTGCGTTCGTTATTTTAATTAGTAGCCGCATTCGTTAGTGCCGTAAGACTACATTGCTGATTTCGTTACTTTTTTCGTATCCGACATTAAAGGCTACGTTATGTTTTAGCCAGTTTGTTATATTTTACTGCTTAATACTAGATGTGTTCACCCTTTTTGTAGGATTTTAGTTTATATACTTAAAAACGGACGTTAGGTCAATAATAAAACAAATATTTCATTAATGATGATAGTATAAATAATAATGCCTTAATTCCCGTGGTTGTAAATTGAATAGCAACTGTCATAAAAATATAGGACCAGTCACACAACATTCAATCATAGTCAACCAGTAGGCTAAGTTGAGTTTTATTATTTTTCTTTTTTTATGGGTTTAGTGTGGAATATTTGTGGCAACTGTTTTAAATCTTATACTTATGGATTCCTCACTTATGGAATTGTTGGAAGAAGTTCAAGTTACACGTAAGGAATGGCACTTCCACTCTGTAAATAAACACGGAAAAGCATATTACCTAAGTATAAAATACCTTTAATGAAATGCAAAGGTTTTCATAAATATGCGTTATACAAACCCTAACCTCTAAATATTGAACATGACATCATTAGATAACAACCAGCCCTAGTAAAGAAGGGACGTGCCACGTTCTACTATAGCCCATTATTTGGGTAAAGGTCGGGAATGACTGTTTTCAATCCAAAAGGAAATTCTGTAGATAATTTCTCGTATTGACGATTGAATTTTAATATACTATTCAATTTAACGTTTATACTTTTCATTAATGTGGTTTCTAGTATTTTTTAATTTAGTTTAATATAGATTTTATTAATAAATCACCCAAGTTTCACCTTAGTCTATATATTACATCATATATATTGTCGTATGTATTGTATTCAATCTTGACCTTTGCTATACAATGTAAATATTGTCTGAAAGCAATAAAGAATTATTATTATTATTATTATTATTATTATTATTATTATTATTAACACAACAGCAACACACTTAAGCTTGATTTGATCTTAAGGAGATACATTCCGGGCGATTAAACATTGTTATCTGATTAACTGAATTTGACTGTATTTGTAAAAGTGAAGTAGACCAATTATCTTCATACTGTATAGCTTTTAACTTAACTTTTATTTTTGTTTCAGGACCTCAAGATCCTGAAAATAAATAACGTAAGTCTACATTTATTGGTTTAATTGTAAACAACCTTACAAAATCGGTTTAGTTTTTTAGTAAAAATAGTATCGCATATTTAATTTAATATTTTTATAAAATAAAGGTAATTTCATAGACATTCATACTTTCATGACAATTTTTTAATGGTTGGAAATATAGGCTAAATTTACTGAAAACTAATTTTCAGTAAAAAGATTAGACTTGCAAAATATGAAAATATGTTTTAGTTTATATAATACCATCACAACAATCTCGACGCATCCTTAAGATTCCTGACTCCTGGAGTTGTGTAAAGAGGGTCTGCTTGAAGAAGGCAAAGCACTCAAGGAACCCTTATGTGGAAGGACACTTTCCATCTGGCACTTGAATATTTGAACCCTTTTCTGTGTTTCTTTTGATCGATTTGCTAGCTAAATCTTTAAGAAGAAAATACTTTTTCATCCTTGACTATAGTTTTGATATTTATTGGTTTTTCTGTATTGTTACCAGGTCCAAGATTTAAAAGATAATTTCTGCGATAAAAGTAAAACAATTTGGTTGTTTTCTATATATAATAGGACTAAACTAATAGGACGACTAAAACTTCAATTCGTTAATGTCAACACAACTTGTTTTATTACACTGTCCTAGGTGAAAATGATTAAGATGAGATAATTCCCCAAATCCATGATAAAGATAATTCGGTATTGAACAATGATAACACTTTTTTTTACAAATTTTCATTTGAAATAAAATCAAGAATTATAAATGTGCATGTGAAGTTTACAATGAGTCAAAAATTGGTTACAATCATAAGAGCTTTAATTAAAAATAATTTATATTAAATTCAACAAATTTTAACTAAGCATTCTGTTTTCTAAGTATTAATGCATTAATACCTAGAACCTTAGGCGTTCCGCCAATATATCCTTCTGCCATTATTGAAAGAGCTTTATTTAAAAGAAAACCCCACTAAAAGTGAATGTGCCTGGGATTAACCAAATCCTTTCCATACCAAACTCTAATTCTTAAATTTGAATCAAATCCGACTTAATTCTTTTTGGTAGTAGCATTAAAAAAATATCGCATCCATTTAAGGGGGGCCCATTGAAAATAATAACACATAATAAATATATTTATTGAATTTTAGCGTTTTAAAATCCAAGTTAAATTTTTTACCACCCTCAGTTATATATATCACAGGATTTATTCCAATTGATTATCGCTATGTGTGTTCTTAATATTTTGATTATTGTTTTAACAAATAAGCTAAGTAATTGTCTGGTGATAAAAAGTTGAAAACGAGTATTTTAAAAACAAAGTCTTGTTTATTTAATTATTACCTTTTTCAATCTTACTGTTATCATTTTAGATCCATTATAATCCATTTCATTTAAATCTATTGCCTATGTTCTTTCAGGGATGGCTTCAGGTATGATCACATTTATTAAGTTATATTAAGTAAATCGTTATATTTAATTTTGATATTTCATATACGTATTCATTATTTTAGTAGTTATTATTATGATGTATTTTATTCATTCACATTTTTTATAATAGAATTATATACGGTAATTATTATTTAAATATTATCTCAAAACTGCATATAAGATTTAACCCTAGATTTTTAAGTGAGATGATTTCTATGTACTTCGCTTTTTTCGTATAATATTGGTTTTTTTTCTAAAGCCATACACAAACATACCGTGAGTAGCCTTGATACTTTGATTTTGATTATAATATTCGTTTAACTAATTAAGTTCATTGATACGTTTTGATAATCAATTATATAACTTAAAATTTTGTGTACTTTTTTTAATCACGTTAAATATATTTTAAACTTATATATTTTTCAGATTTTACCATACATAATTACACGTAACCGCCATATTTAATACTGAGTTTATAAGATAAACACGAATCGATCAGTAAAATAGGTTAATTAATGCGTTCAATCCACATTTCAGAAGCTTAATTAGTGCCATTGGGATAACTGCTCAACTGCTTGAAAATTTATATCCTTTTTATTATGAAAGAGGGAAATCGACGTTTTTCAGCGTTGGATATATAAAAGGTGACTCTTTTCACAAGGAGGGGGTCCCTTCTGTCATCCACCCCCGAGCTAAGCCACTCACTACATTTCCTTCCTGAGGACACTTCCTGTAGGAGAATGGCTCATTTGTCAAGCCCCCTTACTTACAGGACAAGAAAAGAATTTAATTTACAAACCATGTATGATGCAGGGGTGGTAGGTGTTTTTTTTATTAAATGCTACTCGAAATATATTAATCTACTGAATTTTTGTATAGAGATTTGTAAGCAATAAAATGAGTTTATATTTTCGTATTTAAATTTGGAAGATAAAATTTAAATGGATTGTTATCATCTATAATACTGCAGGAGTCAATAAACAGTATTTTATTGATTTGTTAGTAATACATGTTTAGCCTTCATTGGATTAAAAAAATACCAACACACTTGTATCTTTGTAATAAAAATAGTTTAGTTTTTAAGTGCCGAATGGCTTAAGTCGAATGGATTGGTGACCGAAATGATTTTCAACAATTCACAATATTACTGCGTTGAAACAATGTTATTTTTAATTTTTAAACTGGCTACAACCTTAACATAGTGTAATGTCTAATTCTATTCATATTCAAACGTTTTTTTATCCTTTAGGTAATAACTCGTAATTTTGTTTCAGATTGCCATGTGAGGGTGACGCAACAGAGTAGCGGGATGTCCGCACTATGACATCTGTTAATCTCTTTCGGATACTACTTCTGTTATTTGCTGTCTCAGGTAAAACCTATGAATACATCTTTTATTTACTACAAATAAACCGATCATCAACTGTAATATAACCCACGTCCCACAAATAAACCGATCTTCAACTGTAATATAACCCACATCCCCCATAGAATGAAATTTGTTTGTAAAAATATGTAGAATGACGTCTTGAACAGCATTGGGCGTGTTATGAAACCTATGGAAGGCAATTAAAAATATGTCTAATAAATATTGAAACAACCTAATTACACTTAAGCCTTCGACTCACAAACGTAAACCCATGTAAAACATGGTAAGTAGTGATCGATTTTGATTGGATACTCCAATTTTTTCCCACTTATAATCTTTCTATATCTGTTTTAACTTTCCGTAAAACTATTTTAAACGTGGATATTAACTACACACATATACAATGTAATGGTTCTTTTTGACCATATTTAACTATCAAGTATATTTGTATGAAAACATTTTAGAATTAATATGAATACTACACGCAGAAAATTGTAAGACTTTTTAAAAGTCACACTGAAATTTTAAAATTCCTTCGGAATGATATTCGGATCTTACTTTTAGTCCCGGGGCTACAACACCATTCAATTTCATCCCAGAAGAGTCGGTGAATCAAATAAAGAACATATTGGTGCAAAGGAAAGCAATGTCTGGTGATGAAATTTCCCCGCCTAAAGAAATACGAGTATTGTTAAGGGCCTATCGATTTCACAGCCTCGGATGAGGGAATTGAAAATCAAAAGTTGATTGCTTTTGAAAAAGGTTTTGATGTTTACTCTTTTGGAATGTATAATTTTAGAAAGCACTCCTTTAGAGTTTTGTTTTTAATACTTCTTCACTGATCAGTATTAACATCGACTGTAACAGAAGTGGCCATTCCATTTCAATTTCAAAGTTTAAGCCAATTTTAGAATACATGATAACTAAATATATCTGTCGAATACAATAGATTTTGATACCAAACCAGACTGACGTGTTATGTGGCAGGTTTTTGCCACATAACCTACCACAATTCTAAGAACAAAGTGTGTAAATAAAACTTTAGAGAATAGGAATAGGACTCTGTGAACTTTGTTCTTTTTTTATAAAAATATGGTTAGAGCACGTTTGTATAGAAGGACTGCAGTATACGAAGTTAAATGGTGGTACTTTTCCTTATGTACCTTTTTATAGCTAAACTAAAAGAACTACTTACCTTTTAAACTAGTTTTATTGTAAACATCATCACTTATATAGGCTAATAAAATGATTCAACTGAAAAGTATGCTACCAATCGCATGTATGGTTTCAGAGTACAAAATGTGCCTTTGTGGTGAGATCCTGACCCCTCGTCAGTACACGGCGTTGTCTGGGGATCTGAGGGTGGACGTTCTAGGAGTCTCCAGTCCCGGATGTGTTCAGCTATTGGAGCGACTGAGAGATGACCAATACTCAGTCCTGGGTACCGTGGCCATCATGGGTACTACCGTGCAGGAGCCAGGGGTGCCACTACATCAGGTATGTGGAAAAAATCCACACTGGTTTATGTGTTATTTTGTAATGGTTGAAACAGAGATTATTATGAATTAACACAAAAAACCTGGTCTGGTTAAGGCGGATGACGGATATAATCTTACCATTTGCTGGCATTTGGTCGCCTCTTTGCAGCCATCTTCGGAAAATTCAAAGGAACAAATACCACATGATATCACAGACAACTAGTAACAATCTGTAACTGTTTTTGGCACCTATTCCACCTAATTGCTCTGAAGATAGGTGTCTACAACGATGGAAGACTTTCAGTCTATAACACAGTCATTTTCAGAAGGTCTTGTTTAATCTACAGAATAATGTTTTAGGTCGCAAAGTTCTTTCTTCATATCTAAGGATTGTTTAGTGGGTAACAAAAAAATTAACAAGTTTTGCAGCCATGCTAAATCAAGTGTTTTCAACTTTAAGAAGAATATCATTAACCCTCAATATTTTAATAATTTAATAAATTGTTAAAGGACTTTTTTTGTAATACAAAAAAAAATTCTGATACATTTGTCAGATGGAATGTCAAAGTCAAAGTAATAATATTCTGTTTCTGTTTCAATACAAAAAAAGTCTTTACAACTCAAAAACAAAACTTTTAAAGTTACTCCATTTGAATTTTACTAAAATTATATTACCTTTCCTTATAATATTCCAGTGATGTAATAGTATCTTTAGACTCCTGTCGTCAAGGAAAAACTTTAACTACTTGACAAGGGTACATTACACCCTAAACCGTAGGTATTAATCACTGTAATGATCACTGCTGGTGTAGGTGGTGTTTCCCTGCGGAGTGATCTGTCATGGCGGTCAGTTCGGCCTCAGGCTGGCCTCTGGCCTAGAGTGTACCTCTAACTCCTCGACCTACAGCAGCACTACGACCAGCGTCGATGACAACGAGACAACTGAGACAGACGTCACCACCACCTCCTGGCATTCTGTGAGTGAGGGTTTCGAAAAGACTTTTCTTGTTACCATTAAAATTATGGTACTTCATAGTATTATTCTTGTTACAATGCTCAAGCTGTTAGAAATATTACTTAGGAACAAACTGAACCCGAAATTTGCGTTATTTTACCAAAGCCAAATCGATTTAAAGTCAATATTATACTAGTGTACCTGTTGCTCGAATTCGAGCAATTGCGAAGCATTACAGGTGACTCAAAGATTATGGAAAAACTCACGATCTACACAACAGTTAGATATAATCAAAATCTTTTGTAAATATCTTATCTTTTTTCAAAAAGTTGATCTTGTTTTTTTGGTGTTTTAAGTGTAAAAAAAGAACATTATTTCTATTTATTTTACTTGGTTGTGTTCTATGACTTTTTCTATGTTTCCATTGTTTGCAAATCGGTTATTTAAACGATTGCTCAAGAAATGTAGCACAGTGTTAATTCAGTTTTATTTTTAGCCTACATCAAATTGACCAAGATTTCTCGCTCTTTTCCATTGTAATAATTACACCAACCCAAGTTTCGTGTACAGATGCAATATGCAATATATACTTTTATACCAATAAATGAATCTCAGGTGTTCTTTCTTGAATTTAAAAATAAATGGTGATTGAAAGTAGGAAAAAAAGGCAAGTGCCAACCTTACAATATATATAAGCTAACCCGATAAGGAATAGTTATGTTCCTTTGAAATTGATATGTCACACTTATTTCATAATTTAAAATTTTCTAAGAGCAATAAAGCATAGATTTTTGAACAAAACATTTCAAACGTATCATAAATTCATCATTTTGTTGAAACTATAAAAAACTTGCCATGCAGTGGAGAATCCATTTAAAATCATAAATAATAATGTAAACCTTTGTTACAATTGTACCTTTGAATACAATTTTAATATTAACAGCTGGTTCATTAAAAGTAGTGTAAAATTATCCATATGGTCGAAATGTAAACAAAATTGCAGAGTGAACTTTAAAGGCCTCTGGGGCAGAGCCCCAAGGAAATTTACCTCGTTTCTCTTTTGAGGGCTCACCTACAGACCAATACCTTTCTTTTGACACCCCTACCAAGTTTCTATGGCCAGCCGTTCTCTCAAATTAGCTGTGACAAAAACCTCGTTTCCTCCATAAGAATAACATGAGATGGGAATTTAAAGGCCACTGGGGCAGAGCCCCGAGGGAATTCTCCATGTTTCTCTTTTGATGGCTCATCTACAGACCAGGACCTTTCTTTAGACACCTCTACCGAGTTTCTACGCCCAGCCGTTCTCTCAAAATAGCTGTGACAAAGGAAAACAGTTTCAAATTAATATATAGATTTATACAATTTAAGCTAAAACGACCCAAAAAACGTTCGTGTACCAAAACCTATTTTTTTTTTTTTTTTTTTTTTTTATAAGGGAGAGGAGGTAAAAATGCTTTTACGCACACAGGTAGCCAGCCTGTAGTGTGAGACTCTTGAGCTTGTCAGACTACTCACTAAAAAACCCCCTCTACTCTGTTGGACACAGACCTGGGATTGTTTGTCACATTACTTCAGGTCAGGTCAACGTGTGACCTAAGCCCTCAGTTTCTGGCATTCAATTTCTTTATGACCTAGACCGCATCTCGGTCAAGCTCTAGCTTCTTTGTGCGGAGAATATCATGGACGAAATGTGACATACAGGTCCAATTGTCCTCACCCTCCGTCATCATCGGAATGACCGTGTCCACCAACAACTGCCCTACATGTTGTTCAGCCTCCAGGCGGGAACCTTCCCAACGCTGGCAGCGGAAGAAGGTGTGCTCCGCGTCGTCGGGAGTGCCTGGGCAGTAGATGCAATCGGGTGACACGGCTTTGCCCATCCTGAACAGGTACGACCGAAAAAAACCCGTGACCTGTCAGAAACTGGGTAAGGTAATAGTCCACCTCACCATACCGTCGGTCAACCCATGGTTGGACTTGCTGAATCAGTCTCCTGGTCCAGCGTCCCCGCGACTCCTGTTCCCAGCTCTCCTGCCAGAGCTGGTAGGTGCGGTTGCGCTCCTCCATTTTTGCACGGTCCTCTCCACGCCGCTGATAAATCGCTTTCCTCTCCGCCGCCAAAAGTTTGACAGGGATTACTCCAGCAACCACCAAGATGGCAGGTTCAGACACTGTTCGGTAGGCGGATGCTACCCTGAGTGCTACCTGACGCTGCACTCTGGCAAGCCGCATCCTATACACCTCCTTATTGAGCGCGTCTGCCCACACCTCCGCACCATACAGGAGCACAGACTGAACTGTAGACATCAACAGCCTTCTGCGACTGGAACGAGGACCTCCGACATTGGTCATTAACCGGCTAAGAGAAGAGATCACCTTAGCGGCCTTGTCCGCCGTTCGGAATATCTGGTCCCGCCAGCTAAGCTTAGAGTCCACCATGACACCAAGATACTTGGCGGCACGAACGGACTGGACTTCGACGTCCCCCACCCTCAACGGCACAATGGTGTCAATCCGCTTTTTGGTCAGAATCACGATCTCAGTTTTGTTCAGCGCGAGTGAGAGACCGTGATCTGCCATCCATGCGTTTATAGTTTGCATGACTCGGTTTAATTTTAGCTGGGCCAGCTCAACACTACGAGCAGCTATTAAAGCTGCAATGTCATCTGCGTACCCAACTAAAACGGTTTCTTCAGGCATTTCAGACCTAAGGAGGCTGTCGTAGGCAACGTTCCAGAGGTCCGGGCCGAGTATGGAACCTTGGGCAGCACCAGAAGTGACACTCATCGTCCGCGGGCCTTCTGTAGTATCATACATGAGGAGGCGGAACCGGAGGTAATCCTCTATAATGCGCATGAGGTATGCCGGGACGTGGAAGTTGTTCTCCAGAGCGTCCAGCATATCGCACCATCCTGCAGAATTAAATGCGTTTCGCACATCGAGTGTAACGAGCAGCACAACCCTACGAGAGTAGTGATTAAAATCCTCAGCTCTTATCACGGCTTGCTTCACCTCCTCAATAGCGTCGACCGTTGATCGCCCCTTCCTGAAGCCGTATTGGCGAGGGCTCAGGTCCCCCGCAGCAACCACGGCTGAATTCAGTCGGGAACGGATCAACTTCTCTAGGACTTTCCCAGCCGTATCCAACATGCAAAGGGGTCTGTAAGAGGACGGCAATTCTGGGTCTCCTTTCCCCTTCCCTACGAGCACGAGCCTAGCTTTTCTCCAGCACAACGGAAATACCCCCTCTGCTAGGCAGGCGTTGTACATGCTCAGAAGAATCAGGGGATTGATTGAAAAAACCTTCTTAAGAGCCTCGCCAGGTACCCCATCAGGTCCAGGAGCCTTGTTGTTTTTTAGGGATAAAACGGCAGTCACCAGCTCCTCATGATTGAAGAGTGGGACATCGTCCATCATCTCAAACTTACGCAGTGGGCGCAGAATATGATCCGGAAAAAGGGATTTGACGACCCTCTCCATAGCGGCCCCCTCCATGACGGAAGGTGGAGAGCGAGTGGTGAGTTTTTGGGTTACTAGTTTGTAACCCAGGCCCCACGGGTCGGAATCGACATCATCCCTTAGTGTTTTCCAGCAATTGTGTTTGCTCCGGTTGATGGCCCGGCGGAGAGACTTCCTCGCCACCTTGTAGCTCTCCAGCTTACGGCGTCTATCCAAGGGTGCTCTGGCCCTGGTAGCGAGTCGTCTAGCTCTCAAAGCAGCTCGGCGCAAATCCGCGATCTCTGCAGTCCACCAGTATACGGGTCTCCTATCGCAACGGAGTCTCTTGCGGGGCATTGACTCATCACAAGCCGAGGCAATCAGCCCCATCATCGATGTAACTATAGCCTCTGCGAGAGCCATGCCAGGTGCGGCAGGCACCGCTGGCACTCCCCGCAGGATGGCCTCGGTGAATTTAGCCACGTCCAGTTTTTTGGTGTTCCACCGAACGGGCACTTCCCGAGATGCAGCAACTTGTCTCGGGATGCGATCTAAGACATTGAAAATAATGTATTGATGGTCGCTGGCCGTATAATCCTCCAAGACTCTCCAGGCTGTGATCCTTGGCAGAAGAGACTCAGATGCGAGGGTTATGTCTGGGATCGTTCCCCTCATCCCGGGTCGCCGGAACGTTGGCGTGTTGCCCTCGTTGATTACAACGAGTCCGGCCCTGGCAGCAAAGTCCAGGATGTACTTCCCCCGGGAATTAGTGAGGGTCAGTCCCCACTCGACGGCCCTAGCATTGAAATCACCAGCCACGACTACATGCCCTGTGGTGTCCTGCACGCTCTCTTCCAAGCGGTCTATCTTCTCGCGGAAGTCATGAATAGCCTCGTTAGGGGTGAGGTAGACACTGTAATAGGTGACATCCTTGCACCGAACCCAAACAAATCCACGGCCCTTTCCATGACCCCGCACTTGCACTTGAGCTGTATTACGCACCCAGAAAGCAGCAGTACCAAGACTATCAGGGAACCAAAAGGGTGGGACCCTATTCCGGTACTGGTACTGCTCGCTGACCAAGAGCGCGTCGACACCGTGTTCGAGGGCAAGCTGACTGAGAAGCGCGTCAGCTGTCCTGGATCGCCCAAGATTACATTGGAGTATTCTTATTTTCGAGGGTGGGCTTTTGCTTGCTGAAGCGCAGTTTTAAAAGCGCTGCACTGCCCAGACCCAGCTATATGTTTGGTGTTTTTGTCCGCGAGCCCATTTTCCTTACAAAGAAAGCAAGATTCGACTTGGCAGTCCCTACGAGCGTGACCCACCCCTCCGCACCGGAGGCAGTGCTTGCCTCTGTCGGGCCCCTTGCAATTTCGGGAGGAATGACCGAAACCGAGGCACCTAAAACACCTGGTTACTTCCACCCTCCGTCTGAGCCTGCAGTTGACCCAACCGACCCTCAAATGCTGGAGTGCCAACACCTTACTAGCGTGTGCGTCTGCCATTTCGGCGACCGCCATCCGCTGCTGGTTTCTATTTGGTTTTGTGAGCCACACCCTAAGAACAGCCGATGTTCCGGCAAGCTCGGGGACTGCTTCCTTTAGGGCCTCAACCACCTCACTCTCTGTCGACACACCATCTATGTCCCGAACCTCAACTGACGTTTTAGGCTCGAGTGCACGGACGGTGCCCTGGCCTTCCACGGCTGCCTTTAGTTCAGCAGCAAAAGCGGATTTGTCCTTTGACTTACCCAGTTCAAGGAGGACGTCTCCGCCCCGGGTTTGCCTAATCGACCGCACAACCGTATCGGTCTGCTCCGGCTTAGCTTTAGCCTTTATTATACCCAAGACTTCAGCGAATGATCTCCCCCCTGAGGGTTTAACCAAGATTGCCTCCGTCCTGGGCTTTTTTGGCCGCGACCTTTTAAGAGCGGGGGCCAAACCGGGCCCAATTTGGGCAACGTTTGTCGTTTGTGCCTTTACCGCTACATTTTTCTTGGAGGTGACCTCCGCCCGCCTCTGCTGCCTCTTCTCCTTTCGGGTAAGACGCTTTTCCCATGCAGCCCCAGATGGTGTCTCAACAACTGATCCCTTACGGGAGCTTCCCCTAAGAGGGGTCACGGGTTGCTGAGGTTGTAGACGCTTTGTTGGGAAAGCAGCTACATCTGGGGAAGACCTGGGCCCGGCAGACAAAAGGTCTGTCTGGGTCGCCTTAGCCTTAACCTTAGCCCTTGTGGTCTGAACAGCCTCTTCCTTTTTTGGAGGGCTTTCCGTAGTGGATGGCCTTCTGCGTTTCTTGGAAGGCAGCGCCCTGTCGTCGGGCATAGACACTACCTTCTCCGCAATCTTTTCCATGGCCGCCTTGCTTACCAACCGGCAGGCAAAAACGAATCCAAGGTCATCTTCTAGCTTGGCCATGCCATTTTTGACCACTTGGTTAACAGCTTTCTGGGTCCGAAAGGTGTCCAGCATAGCTTTAATGGTCTCCTCCATGTCTCGAAGCCGGGTTTCGATGCTACTCTCTGCGTCAAGGTATTTCTGACGCAGAAGCACCATCCCTGAGCTCTCCGACTGCAACGTTGTTGTAAGGTGTTCCTCCAACAGCCCTTCACCAGACTTGAAAGCTGGCACCGGTGGAGGGGAGACAGTCGCTCCCTTTACCAGCGAAGGTGCCAACGATATATTTTCTGCTGTCAGAGGGGGTGACCTTGACACACCCTCCCCTCTTAAACGCATTCTCCTCTGACTGCTTGCCAAGCAAGCCCTCCATGCTACCTGGGGTTGAAAAAGCCATAAAAATGTTTGCCAGCGCATCGTGCGGCAAGGGACGGCCCGGAATAACCAGGAACGGGTATACCCTCGGGGACGTAGCCCCTACCCCAGTTCCCTGGGGCCCGGTCTCCGTTTGCCTAGTACCGAGAATCCTGACGTACCAGGGGTCGCCCGTGGCAGTGCAGAGCCCGACCTCTGCACCCATGCCGCACTCCCTGACTAGGGCCCGAAGGGGCTGGTTCCTGACGACACACCAGCGGCAGTGCGAGGCACAAAACAGCCCTTTTGCACAGAAAGGGCACTCCCAAGGCTCAATAGTGCACGCCGGTCGAAAAAGAAGAAAGGAAAACACCCAAACCGGGGTTGAAAAAAAAGAAGTGTAAAAAGGAAAGATGAAAGATTTCGAGGTACAAGCCAAAGGTAAGAAGCAAACTTGGCCTCAGAGAAAGTTGGGAGCATAAAGAGAAGGATCTCCCACCCCCTGTTAGTCGCCTTTTACGACAAGCCGAGGGAGGCTGCGGTCCTATTCTAACCCGGTACCGCACGGGGGCACCAAAACCTATTGGATATAATCCATTTTATATTTTCTATTTAGTTGTTCCTAGGCATTTTTAAAGGAAACTGCTCTAAACAGTGATCAATGTTTTCTTTTATTCCAGACGGAGGACGACATAGTTCCTCTGGACGTCAGATGGCCAGGAGTGACTCTCGAGGCCGAGCCAAAGTCTGTACAGACATACCCTGAGCAGCCTGTGGTTGCTAGAGTTATGTTCCACAATACATACTGTCAACCCAGCATAGGGTCTCTAGTACCCGAGACTTGGCTGAATCTCGTGTACTGCGGCCATTCTCCACTGGGCTGTGTCAACTCTACACACAAACAGGTACTTCAACGAATGTAGAATCATGTGGATATTTTATTAGTTTCAGTTACAATTTTGCTCATGGAAAGTTTCTGTTATTTGAGGAATGAGAGCTTACTAAAATATGACTTCTCCATGTTTCAAGGTCATCCTTTGGATGCCATTTCTGTTTCCTATCCCTATTGCTTCCCCCAATTGCCATACAAAAACGTGACAATCTCTCCTGAGTTGTGGAGAGACTCGTGTAGGCGTGTTAATTTTGAGCTGCACTTTATTTGGGCCATAAAATTACCCTCGGTTGAAGTTATTTTGTGATTCCAGCTTTGACTGGGGTTGTATTCTAAACTTGTTGTATTTTAGATACTTTTCCCTTGATCATATTCAAGATCCCGAAACAATGTGAAAATCGTTTTAACCAATCATAGAAAATGTATTAAAACCTAACTAGAGGTCGTCCAGTGGTCGAAACCTCAACCATGTAATGTACACGTATTGACTATTGGATCACAGAAAAACTTCAACAAACAACAACAACAACAACTCTTTTAGTGGTTTGGTAATTTATTTATTTATTAGCTTCTGTTTGTGGAAGTATACTTCCCATCTATATGGATCAGTGGTCGCATTTTTTAAAATTAAAAACATGTAGTCATGTGAGCCAGTCACAGAATGTTCACAACAATGAATCACTGAATTTTCTGCCTTATTTTTTATTGCTGACAAAGGTGATGGGTCATAACAGTTGCTGTATCTAATAATAAAACATTCCAAAAGTTGATTTGGTAAAAAAACATCGTGTATCGACAGAAATTAGTCATTTAGACCAGCACAATCTGTTGGTGGCTCACATCAACTACGACGAATTTAATTAAAAACTGGTGACAACTTTAACATGGGTATGGAATGTCTAGTTGTAGTTCAAAGGTACAGGCTTCTCTATTTTCACTCCATGCTGTTAATAAAACATGTGATTGTAATTTCTTACATTTGTTTTGGGTTTCTGTTTATATTTCGTTGTTATTTCGTCACCAGCATGGCAACTCATAAAGTCCATGTTAATTTTTTTTTATTTCAAATTAGTTTTTTGTGCTTATATTTGACCCTATTTTAATGTTTAAATGTATTCTGTACATCTACAGAAAAATATCTTTCTCACAGTATGCGTAGATTTTTTCTGCGATGCACACGAGCTGAGAAAAAAGGTAGAAAAAAGACACGAAGAGAAACATGCTTGCCTATTAATACATAGATCACTTGAATGTATGCTTGATATATTAATCACCAAATCTTGTAGTTTTATATTTGAAAGGAATTGATGTATCTTAATGATGTTTAGCACCTATGTAACAGACTTTGCATATGTAACAGACTATGTTTTACATTCCCTCTGCAGGTACTCTATTCGGAGCAGATTCTTGGTTACCCTAGCCTGAGGGAGACCACATTGGCGTGTAACTTGTTTGGCCTAGCAGGACACTACGCGCTGGCTCTACGCACCACCATCAACACCTCCAGCCACCTCATATCTTACACACCACAAGACCACACTGTTAAGGTTGGTGTGTGTTTTTGCGGACCAAATGTTTGGCTAGGTTGGGTTATGGGTTAACGCAAGACATTACCTAACCTAACCCAACCTATCGTGGTAACAGAAAAATACTAATAACCTTATTGCTGCACTAAGTTGTCATGTACTTTTGCTAGATTAGCTAACGAAAATAAATTCCTAATTACATAATACCATTTTAATACTGAAATACACACTGACAGCTTACGATGTAGCTAAATTTAGTGAGTATGTTTGAATTTTAAAAATGTTTGAGAATCATTAGATAATTTAAAATGTAGAGTAGTCTTATTCCTATAAAAATGTTCTTTAGTATTCATTTTCTGATTTTAAATTCATCACCCCCTTTAAATTGAAGTATATTTTATACAATTCCAGAAAAAAACAAACACATTTCACTTAGTAAAACGATTTACACAAGTATTAACTTTATGGTATACACAAAAATTATATAACAATATTCCCACAGGTGGAGTGGAGTGATAAGTTTGTGTTCAATGTCCACGCTCGAAGCATCTTCCCCTGCGACGGACACGGGGGCATCCCCGTGCTGTTTCAGTACCCTTCCTGTATTCTGGAGACGGGTGACCGAGTCAGGGTGTTTGGCCGACTCCGGGCCGACGTGACGGCCGGGGCTCCGCCCTCCACGCTACACTACATCGCCGAACACAGGGTCACTAGAGGTCAACACGCTCTCAACTTTGACTGCGAACTGTTCACCGAGAGATACGTTGAGTATTGTTTTGTCTACGTCAGCCAAGCCATCAGTGGCGCCGTCAGTGACGTCAGGATGGACTGTGTGCCTACACTGCCTGTACATGGTGAGTCGGAGTAAAAATATAGGTGCTTTGTTTCACTTCCTCCCATCGACGCTTTCTTATACTTAGGCTATCCCCATTATCTGAACAAGTTGGTATATCTTCTCTCTAGATTTGATTTCAAAATTTTATTTTCCCTTTATCTTCTGCTACAAATTCTTTTTCCTACAGTCACTCGACAAAGTTGGCTTCCTTGTACTGTTTATAGTACAGAAAGCTGCTAATTGCTGCATATTTATACTTTGCCGTACGGTTTATACTTTGCCGTACGGTTTATACTTTGCCGCACATCAGGATTCCAACGAAACAACACAAAACAGCGTGGTTCTATTATGCACGTAATCCGTGTACGCTTGGAAATAAGGTTGGCAACACTTAAAGATGATAATACTATGAGCAGCTGATTGACTATTATAACTACGATTTAACCTGTCATTTCGTGTTTATAGTTTCGGTATTTCTGAACTTTCTGGACTTTTCCTTTAAACGTTTTCAAAACATTCCTACGATCTTAATAAACAAGAAAATACCTTTAAAGCATTTTTTTAGGAGCAGAAACCACTTCAAATTACAAAAACATACGGAACTATATTCTCAAAACGCGGAGCACATTTCTTGCCGAGGAAAAATAGCGGAGTGATACGGACCGCGGGTACTACTTTCTATAGGGAGGCCACCATTTGTGTTGCCAGCTGAACCTAAAAACGTGTTGTATAGTGTTTGAAAGACTAATTATTTATATGCTTTATAGTGACTGTAGGAAAAATATAATGTGTAACACGAGTGAAAAAGGCCTTTGCTGCACTCGAGATCATTCCGCACTCGCCTGCGGCTCGTGCGTAAACATTGCTCTCGTGTGCAGCAAAGTGCCACTTTCACCACTAGTTACACAAATAACTATTGCCAGGTCCCTTCATATTGTAGGCCTACCTAAAACCCTCTAATACCAGCGGGGCATTCCAGAGATCCCGTATGTTAGTATATGGATTGACATATTAAATTCGTAGATGGTATGGATCAATGGATCAATGTAACTCCAAGGTGAATAAATGCTACAACGTTATAGAGATTTAATTGGATTGCCAATTATAATCTTAAAAGTATATGTACTACTAACTATTAAAGACATAGGTTCATGTCTGTAGCATCTGTACTGTCTTATCACAATCCACGCGTTAAGTCATAGTAAATCATGCCAACGTTGATTTTATTAGGTTTTTAAACTTCATAGTGGCTTACAATTTCAAAACGAAGTTTTACTTCATCAGTTCACCTTTTTAAGTCTTGCGATATTTATATATTCGTTTCACTTCTACCTAGATATTCTATAATATTATTTCTATTCTATAAAGAGATAGAATATCAACATAAACACTGATAATAGCAAAGCACAGATACAGTTCATAATATTTCACAAGGATTACTTAAATAAAATCACTCTTAAGCTCTAATATACTCGGGCAAAAGTTTATGCAGGGTTTTTGTAGTAGTACTTAAATAAACTGTTCATGCGATAATCTTCTGTTAAACTGCAAACTGTATAGTTTAAAACTAGGTCCCTTTGAATGTGGAGGCTACTCCTTCTATTTTTTCTTGTACTAAAATTCCTTTGACTGTATAGAGGCCGAGAGCGGAGGCTGGGGCTCGTGGACCTCGTGGACTCAATGTACAACAACCTGCAGTGGAGGAACCAGAAACCGCTACAGGCTCTGTGACTCCCCTCCTCCTAGATATGGGGCCAGGTTCTGTGAGGTACGTTGAATAACACCAGTAAACATGTATTTGGGCTGAACAGACATAAGTTTTACGAGTGATTAGATTTAAGTAAATCGAATTGAAGATGAGAAAAATTTACGTATTTTGTATAAAATGGTCAAAATTGTATAAATATTCTTTTAAAATTGAAAATTTACACTGTACACAATGTTGAATATTTGCAAACCATCACAAATCGAGATTGCAAAGTCTAACTCAACAATAATCTAACAAACAGTATGTATTACAACTTAATTACAACTACATGTTTTAAGAGTTCAACATTGAATTAACATATAAATTACACAATTCTTACTAGTTTTTTTCCTATAGAAAATGCATCTTTTAATGTAAACATTTTATCGTTTGAGTACTTTTTAAAACGATTTTAATAAAACCAGTGGAAAGTAGCAGAAAACCTAAACTTGCTTTTGCTTTGAGTTTGCTTTTGCTTCTTGCACGAGACCACAATAATTTAAACAAATATCGGTTCAGTCAAACTACAATGTCTGTGTTAATTTAAACCAATAAAAATAGAATTATGATATATTATATTTGAGTAGAAAACAGATTGATGTACAATATTTTAGCAATTTCAATCGGTTCTATAAAAATTGACTTTTTTATACCTATATTACAAACGCTGACTTAATATTTGGGCGAATATTGCCTATCACCTTTGCGTTGTTTTATATATGTGGACAATTACGTAATCCAAAGATAAGAATGTACAACCAAGAGTCTAAAGAACATTGACGTGTAACCTCTGTTCACTATTCTATACACCACTCCAGGGCCACGCGCTAGAGACAGAGCGGTGTGGGACGGCGCTGGCCTGGGACTGTCCGTTCTACCAGGAGGGTGCTGATGTACCAGCGGAGAGGCCTGAGGTGAAGGCGGAGGTCGGGCCTGGCTGTAGATGCGGCTGTGTGGTGCACCTGGGAGTGGCCAAACCAAGGAGACTAGTGGCCTCGTCATCGCAAAGCTGTCCGGGCCGTACCTTCTGGCTAATACAGGTGACATAGTTTATTTTTTTTTTGTCCTAGGATGCTAGGCACGAGCCCGGAATGTTTTTCACATTACTTCAGGCTAGACCTAGGGGTTACGGCAATATCACTTAGATAAAATCCATTGGTGATTTGGTGGGGTTTGAACCCGGGACCCAGGAACCGGAGTCCCGCACTCTAACCACTTGAACAGCTCACTCCCCCGCAGGTGATATAGTTGAAAATGTGTTTTGTAAAACGATGTTTAACTGATAGAAATGGATTCTGTAAAATGCATGAGAGGCTTGTGGAGCCAAAAGTTACGATGTTGTAAATTTTTAAGGACTATGAAGAACATTTTTAATCACGACTAGTAAAAAAGAATTTTCTAAACGTTTCAATATCTGGAATCCGATCTCGTTCTCTGGCGAGGAATTACCTCATAAATAACAAGATCGGAAGTATAGCCATAGCTGTAACATTATAGAAAAAAAACACCAAATATATGCAGTAACTGGTAGTAAAAACACAATGTAATAAACCAGGTTTAAAACAATAATACTAATTAACACGTTCGCTGCTGACCGCTAGATGCCGGGACGGCGCCAGGAGCTGAACTATACGCTTGTTGCTGCATAAACATTGCTGCCGACACACTGAATTACAGTAAAAACAACAGTAGTTATACTGGATGGCAATGTTCTGCAATAAAACTGGCTTTGGGCATAGTACCAAGCGATTCTGATAGATAGTAGCATTACCCAGGTTGCAGTCGGTAAAGTAGTGTCGCTATCTAGCAGAAAAGAAGTGGGGACAAAGCCCTGTTTTAAACGACCCTGGTGGGGATTTTGGGAAACTATATTTTTTATTGTCAGAAAAGTACGTCCCCACGAGCTGCAAAGAAATATAGGACGCTCGTGACGAGCTGGCTGATCCATGGAAACGTTAAACAACAATGACACAGCGTTGTACATGTACAACGCTAGCTCCTGGCGCCGGGTAGACACGTTGTAAAAATACAACGCCAGCAGCGAACGTGTTAAAGATGAGATTAACTAGTGATCATTAATTACGAATTTCAAAACAATATTGTTCACGAGTCTATGAATTCTCAAAACTATGTTGACTAAAAAGTTGTGCTACCTAGTGAAGGAATTTGAAAAGTGAACGCGATTAGTACTGAAGCTGAAGGTAAGTGACTTCAAACCCGTCTGTAAGAAAACTATATTTTTCATTACACTTCAAGTCATAACTACTGGTTTTTGTAATAGATACTTAAATAGATACGTCCAAAGTATAAATAAATAACTTTTTTATTTAGCACTCACAAAGCTAAGACAATAATTTTGTTCTTTTAGGCTGACCGTAATCAGCTTATCCGCCTTTCCCTGGAGCAGTTCCGCCTCCCATGCTCTGCCCAGTGGCTCAAAGTGCGAGATGGGGACTCCCTGTCGTCTACTCTGCTGGCTCACCTCACTGGAGTCCTAGGGAGTCACTCCATCATCAACTCCTCAGCAAACTTTCTCTTGTTGGAGTTCTTCTCTGACGAGTTGGCTGCGATTGGTGAGGAGTGTTGGGGAGGGTTCCTGGCCCACGTTCAACAAATAGGTAAGTTAATTATGATAAAATCTATTCTAATGTAAAATATTTTTATTATTTTAATACAACGCAGATGTTTAAGATTCATTTTATTTATTAGTTATTCATGGAATTACTCCAAAATATCATCCAGGCTCCAAAATAACCTGTGTTGATCAGGGTTTCCAATTATTAACCTTACATGTACAGGGTGATTACCGAGAAACGCATGTTTTTCAAATAACGAGTACTCTGGTAATTCAGAGAAAAAAATGTATTTATGAGTGGAAAAACAGTGTACACAATATGCAATTTCAGAATAAAATTACTTGCAATTTAGCATTTAAAAATTACATTTCTAACGTGGTGGTTAGAGAACATTGATAATTTTACGGGTCGCCTTCTGCTTTCATACAGCGTTGAAGGCGTTCCTTAAAACTTTCTATGGAATTTGCTAACATATCTCTAGGAATGGCGTTGATTTCCTGGCGAATAGCTTCTTTAAGTTCCTGTATTGTTTTTGGTTTGTTTATGTAAACTCTAGATTTTAAAAATCCCCATAGAAAGAAATCTGGAATTTTAAGACCTGGTGAGCGCTCGGCCAAGTGACACCACCAAAACGTGGGATAACTTTTTTAGGTAATGTTCACCGAAGGAATTCCATTCTAATGTGAGCTGTATGGACTGTTGCCCCATCTGGTTGGAACCATACATCACTACGTATCTCGACACGTTGATGGCGCAGTTCCGGCAAGAAATATTCTTCCAACATGTTTAGGTACCGTTGTGGATTCACTGTCACTGCTCTGCCGTCGCGGCTAGGACTCTGAGCTGTTGCAAGGCGCACTCTTTCAACTGTCTCAGGGGTACTAACTGTCCTTGCCAGTCCAGGAGGTTTTCTCTTAAGCAGAGATCTAATTGAGTTTTACATTATGTATCCAAAGCAATATCGTGTTACGATCAGGGGTAGCACCATGCCGTGCAATGTTAAAATGTGTATGAAAGTCTCGCTGAGTCTGAGTGACTGATTCACCATTTGCGTAATATCGTCGCATGACAAACATACGATGCTCGAGGTCCCACATCTTGGCAAAAATTGAAACTGCACACTTCCCCCTACACATCGCAACAACTTCCGGCCGTCACCGAACGATATTCCTTATGTACTACAAATGTCAAAAACATGCGTTTCCCAGTAATCACCCTGTATATACGGGTGACAAAAAAGTCTGGAAACGGTTTAATATCTTTTTAGCTAAATCCATTAGCAAATTCAAACCTTTCGCATCAACTTACATGTATAAAAACTACTTTTTCCAAGAATTATCATTTTTTTACCTCTACCAGGGGACGACCCATGAGGAGTAGGTACATAATCTTTAATGTAAGCATAGGTTGATATGCACATCATTTTAAAGGTCTGGTCAAGTGAAAATCATTTCCGGAAACCGCGTCAAAAAAGGTTCATCCGTTACAAAATGGCGGCTGTCCAAAGTTCTTGTTGAATATACCTGCACAGGCCTCACTATTGGTAAATACTCGTATTAAACATAAGCTTGAGAGCTGAAACTATATTTTAACGTCAACTAGCTCATAGACTAATATTATTCAATCTTCAAAACAAATTTAAACGGGTTTCAGATTTCCCGGCTAATGTTGAATATGATTATTTACCAATACTAAGGTCGCTGCAGGTATATTCCGCAAGAACTTTGGACAGCCGAAATTTTGTAACGGATGAACCTTATTTGATGCGGTTTCCGGCAATGAACTCCACTTGACCAGACCTTTAAAATAATGTGCATATCAACCTATGCTTACATTAAAGATTATGTACCTACTCCTCATGGGTCGTCCCCTGGTAGAGGTAAAAAAATGATAATTCTTGGAAAAAGTAGTTTTTATACATATAAGTTTATGTGAAAAATTTGGATTTTCTAACGAATTTTGTTAAAAAGATATCAAGCCGTTTCCAGACTTTTTTGTCACCCTGTATAATCAGGATAGAAAACAAACGTTAAGACGTTTTATCGGCATTTAAATGATTAGGAATTTGTTAAATAGCTTATGTGGATTATGCAATGTTTAAACCTAAATCCTAGAGTAAACAAGAACTATGACAACACAATTGGATCCCCTGTTACGTACATTAACCATTGTAATGTTTGTTTGTACTGTCTACCCGACTGGGAAATCAGCTCCACCAAACTGTCCATGCTAATAATTTGAAACTAGATCATACTATTAAGTTCGACATGCATTTAATTTAAATACTTGGTTAGTCGATATTACGTTACACAACAGTTGAAACCTATTTCCTTCACTAATAAAGGTTTGAACACTGACATTATTAATGTTGGTTTGAACGTGACATTTGAACACTAACGTATACGTCTAACACATATTTGTACTATTAACCGTGTTGATTTCAATCCATTTATAACCCAAACAGTTATTAAATGTATTTTCATGATGAATTGTTCACGAATAAATAGCATTTGTATTAATTAGTCAGTGTCATAGTAGAGGTTCCAAACACAATTTTGTACCCGGTGTTGTCTGATTCAATTCACATGTGCCAGAACACTAGAAGTGCATTACAGTAGAGGACCTGACATGTACTCTGGTACTACTGACCTAGTTGTGCAATGTTGGCCGCTATGTTCTACAAATAGAACTAATTAGGAGTTGGTGTTTGAATATTAAGACATTTTCAACAGTGTAGTGAGTGAATATTCACCATGATTTAAAAAACTTCTTGATCAGCATTTGTGACTAGCCATGCAGTAAGGGAAATATATAATAAATGTATATATAAATATATAGTAAACATATAATATAAATATATGAATGGCAATAAAAAGAAAAATGACAATAGGAGTAGGAGTAAACTTAACTTAATTATTATAATTTAGTAGGGTATATTGTTTATTTCCTGTTCTAATTTAGCACCTTTTCCGTTAATTCATTACTACTAGTGGAATGTAGTTAGGTTAGGTTTTTCCAACGAACTGGTTTTTCTAACTCTATACTAACCTTACCCAACCTAAACTAAACAAAGTTTAATTTACTACGACTTCTAGTGTTAATTATCTATTGCTCTAAAAACTACTAGTAGTAAATTAACGGATAAGGTCCTAAATGTGTTTTATGTTTACTTAATATTAAAATAAATACATCAAAATTAATAAGATTGCACAAATGTATGCCTTTATGTGGTTATATTTTTGCGGGTTATATTTTGTGTGATTGAATATTTATTATTAGATTACGCCATTGTTTTTTATATTTTTTTAAGGGTACGGGTCAAACCTTGGTCTTGTCTCAATTGATAGCCCAGTGACAAATAGCATCCAAAATTGCCTCACAAGGGATCAACACAAGCAGCCTTCAAATTGGAAGGCTGGTACTTAAATAACTCAACTACTCAAACAGCTTATAACTGTTATTGAACTCATTTTAAACAATACATTACCTTTCGTATATCTTCCGTTATCATCCACCATCTACTGTTTCCCCGCCAGAGCGGACGGGCAACGTAACCTCGGGCAGTGAGGTGTCTATGAGTCCCACCATCAGTCCTCTAGAGCGGCTGGCGCTGGTACACATCGCGGTGATCCTACTGCTGGTCGTGGTTTTGCTCACCTCCACCTGCCTTGGAGCTCAGTATATGCACCGTTACCGCAAGTACCAGCTGGCAGCTCACGACGACTTGGAGTCACTCGCCGTCTCTCGTGAGTAAACAGAGTCCGTGTCGTAATAACAACACCACTTTAGGAATTATATTTATTGGGTACATTTTCCTAGTAGTGACATTAATTAGGACATTTTGGAAGATTTTGGATTGAAGAATAATGTTTTGTCTAATAACTTTGTAAAATTATTTTAATTTACCATGTTGTGTTTGCGAATGCTGTAACAAGTCGTAACTGACTTTATGATTTAATCACTGACTTAAAGAAGATTCCTTGTCCGAAGACCTTTTTGCATACCTTCCATATTCCATGCTATGTAAGCTACGAATCGTGATGCACTCTTATACAAATCTCTTACCTTAACGTTGTGACGGTACAGTGGGAGAGTCCATGGGCAGTCTGGTTCCTGCAAGGAGTCGGGCCACTTCCAGCACCACTCTGCTGTCCGAGGTCATCTCCCTCAGGAGGTTCCGACCTCACCGTCACACGAGGCTGCCAGACCACGATGACGTGGAGGAGGATGAGGAACAGGAGCTGGAATCATCCGTGGAATCACACAGGTAGAGTATTTTCTCCTCAGACGTAAGCCAAGTTACATCTTTATTAGAATTCTCGACCGTTTGTGAAACAGTTCTAAGTATTTTCATAAAGATTTAGAAAAGTATCTTACACGTCTGTTGAGGTCAAAACGCGTTAAAATATTTATAACCCATATATATTTCAACTGACATGTACGAAATCCCTATGAAACCTGTTCTGAAAACTGCTATGTAAATGTTTGGGTGTATTTAAAACACACGGTAAGTGTATACTCAAATTTATTTACTATCTAAAAACAAGTTTAATGGTATTTATATATTTTATAGGGTTGTTAAATATATTGTTGTGCTACAGGGAGGACGAGCAAAAGGAAGAACAAGAAGCCAGAGTCTCAGTTGCTGATTCAACAGCTGATGTGGAGATGAGACCAACCAGCCTGGATGTGAAACAGCATCGTACACCACGACACAACCAGGAAACTGTCAGAATACACAAGTCGTATAAAAAGTAAGAACTTTTTATCAAGAAAGATTGTAACATTTTACCATGGTAAATATGGTGATTTTAGTTTATTTAGGTTTTTTGTGGTGTGTAATATTTTAATTTTAAGTAACATGAATGGATTTTTTTATTTCTAAATATATTCTTCGCATATCTAAAGTTTTTTTTAGGGTGTTTCATAAGGGAATCATCCAAATCATTGTTTAATTACTATTAAACGTGGAGTTTTGATATCATCAATATCTAATTGCCAAATGACAAAATGCATCTGGAAACGATCTTGCTTGAAATATAACCAGTGATCTTCAGATTTTAAGGTTAGAAGTATAACAGCCTCAGATACCCAGACAATTAATACATTTTAATTTTTAACCACACGACATTTTGCTTAAACCGTGAGGAGATTTCTTACCTCCGAAACTTAGTGTGGTTAACACTTAGCGGTAGGAAAGATCAATAGCTTAATTTAACAACAAATTAAATTAAAATTGTATGCTAAACAATGAACAATAAGTGTAACCTCATATTAAAGGTTAACATCGCTTTTAACTGAAATTGGTCAAAACACCTCAATTATTTGTGGTTATGATAAGGGTTCGTTGACCTCTCGTCGTGAAGTCCACATATCACATATCAAACCAATAGCTTCCAATTACATTTCTATACAGGGTGATTGATATAAGTGTGCCAGCCGTTTTATTCTAAAACTATAAGAGATATCAAAAAAAGTTAAATGGTAAGTGCCTTGGATTTTTTATTTTTAAAAATTTAGTAAAGTCGAGAAAATTATTTTAGCCGCCATTTTTCCAATATGGCCGCCAACTTTGATTTTTCTTACGGAACACCCTGTATTTTATTATGTATTCCGGTAGAAAATGTAATTTTAAGACGATTTTATTCTTGTAATTTTTTTCATAAACCTAACCGTTTCAAAGTTAATGATGTTTAAAGTTTTAAAAATTAGGCATAAGAAAGAGTTTCGATAAAGGCCTAAGCAAGCATGCCAGCTGTTTTATTCAAAAACTATTCAAAATTTCACAACTTAAACCATTATTATCTTTGAAACGGTTAGGTTTATGAAAAAAATCACAAGAATAAAATCGTCTTAAAATTACATTTTCTACCGGAATACATCATGCAATACAGGGTGTTCCATAAGAAAAATCAAAGTTGGCGGCCATATTGGAAAAATGGCGGCTAAAAAAAATTTTTCGACTTGACTACAATTTTTTAAATAAAAAATTCAAGGCACTTACCATTTAACTTTTTTTTATATCTCTTATGGTTTTCGAATAAAACGGCTGGCACACTTATATCAATCACCCTGTATAATAACTCTGCCTGTTTCTCACCCAGGTACAAGTCCCCAGTGAGCCCCGTGGTGGAAAAGCCAGAGAGCCCAGAGGACCAAGACAGCTCTCAACAAACTCTCTCCCCTCCACCTCCAGGCAGAAGGTCCAGCAACGGACTTAGTAGACCCAGCGTCAGCTCTAGCGTGTCGTCGTCCCTCACTAATGTGCGTATATGAACAGAGTTGAAGGTCAATGTGTTTGGAAATTGTTGATATTATCGTGGTGCCTTACAATACCTACGGAATGCCTACCTGAAATCATAAAGGCAAACTGTCTTAGTCGTTAGGAATAAGTTTAGTGTTTTTTTTTTCTAGAAGTTTGGAAATAGTAAAGATTCCTTGAACTAATGGAAAGTGACTACAGTTTAACTTGAGAAGCTAAAATTAAGTCGAATTATGTTGTTATGCTTCAAGATTTGAAACATTACAAAATCATAAACATCGTTTAAAAACATGATTCAAATACTAAATTTTACTGTTGCGTGTTTAAATAATCATCCAATGTATTTTAGAAATTTCCTTAGGTATGGAGAATGTTACTATTATTGCAAATTACAATGATTTTACTAAATTATTTCAATATTTTTTAGTAATTCAAGAATAATATAGACAACTTTTTAAATCAGCAACTAAAATTTTACGAAAATTTTAAAGTAAATGGTTATAAATATTAGCTTATAGCAATCATAATAATAAATCATCATTCTGTATTTTACAATCAAATTCTATACGATCAAGAGGTATATAAATTTTAAAGAATGTACAGCATTTTTTTCTTACCTTAAAAATGTTTCCTTTCACTATTATCAAACTTAATGCAAATACCACAAATGTCAAACGTACAATCTTTTTCCAGGCCTTATCCTCCCCTGCGTCAAGCCTCAGAAGTAACCCTAAGGAGACAAAGGAGAAAAGGAACCGCGAGCGTCTCCTGGCAGGGTCGGAGTTCAGTCTGGCAGGAGAGATGGAGATGGACTATTACGACTACAACGTCTCCAATGCGAGCACGGTGCCTGGGTCATTTCTGGGGATGGACCCTGCCTTCTGTCTGTGGATCCCTCCGTTCGCACCAGGTCAGTGGGACGACGAAGAAGATGACGAACTGATCGGTAAATCGGACAGCGAAGACACAGAAATGAAGGACCTCGGTGGGCTCAAGGACAGAACTCCGGGTGAAGACCTGGTTAAAGAGACAACGGACTTTAGTGAAGGAAAAGAAGATTCTGGGTCTGCAACGCCAGTGAACATAGAAGATACGAAGAGTGAAAAAAGCTTTCATGATTGCTACAGTCTTAGAGAAACTTCTGATCTGGAAGAAGTGAGGATCAAACTTGTTGAAAAACTAGTGCCTGTGTCTCCTGCTAAAGTACATCGTGCCTACAGAGTGAAGGAAAAGGAAACCGGTGTAGAAAAGTCCCCTAGTGATAGCGGTGAGTATTATGACCTTTTAAACAACGATGATGCGGATGACATAAAGTTTGCTGATGATGACGATGAAACAGAAGATGATTACGTTGAAAGGAAACAAACCGATATAGTGATTCCAAAAGTGAGGAGTAACAGGAGTTCATACTATGATGCATAGTAAGCTTGACCATTGACATCCATTTATTTATTTAAGGAAACTTTTTAAACTTTATGAATTGTAAAATAATTCTGTTTACGGTTAAAAAAAGATAAATTAATTTCTAATTAAGAATTATTTCTTTGGTTGTGCTATCTTTGTTCAAGTAAAACATGTATTTCAACATAATTAATAACAATTAAAACACTTTGTTAACATTTTTTGTAGTTCCTTAAGAAATTGTATCCTGATAAACAGACAATATTTCAACAACCATTTATACAGAAACTACAAAACAATAGGTCAATATTTTTACATGGTGTTAATAGTTTGTATATTCATGTAAAAAGGATGTTATTGGTGTAGCTTAGAAACGAATTATATTTTAGAAACTTTATCTAAAAGTATACAGAATAAACATTCTTTAATAACTAAGTTAGTTAGTTATAGATAAATGTTAGAAGCGTATAGTACACTATCGAATTTCATTGTGATTAACTTTGTAATTTTGGTACTAAAATCTATAATCACTAGATTTTATGACATTTAAAATTATTCAATTAAACTAATACAGAGTGAAGTAAATTATAAAAACGAGTGTAAAATGTATAGTGGTTTGAAATATTTCAACCTTTGGACGTACATTTAAAGTATATATTTTATGACGCTCTTAAAACAAAATTCTACAGTTATAACTTAATTATGAATGTGTTTTATCTAAATTTTAGTATGATCTAAATCTAAACACTAATCGTTTCTTTGTTTCAAAATGTTTCTGATAAACTGCAATCTGACCTGTTTGAGAATAATAATTAATTGTTTACAATAAAATTATAATTTATTATGATAGAGTTTGCATTCAAGGATATTTGACCAATTACCTTTAAGTATTATTTAGTAATTCTTTCTTGCATTGAATATTTGATTAATGTAACATTTTGGTTCACGTTTTGTCTTATAATTATTTGAACTATTCCCGATTTTATAGGCCTAGTTAATTCTGGCTAAGTTGGCTACCCTGCAAATTAACATTTTCTCCAAACAAAATTTAATTTTCTATTTATATAGGCTTTAATCGATTTAGATCATTTGAGCTTAAGTGGCAAGTGTATAACATTCCTGAATTAATTGTAATTAATTCAATTACAAAACGTTTACATCAAAAAAACCACCCATTCAAAAATTTGATTTACTGAATATGTTGTTAAGCAGTGTTCCATGTGTGTTTTTTGTTTTGTACATAGTAATAGTATCGCTAGCTTTGACCCTATTCTAGTCTGAACCAAAAAGACTGTGTGTGCAATGTTAGGTTATAAGACCATTCCACGACTGAGGTTGCTTGGTTTGATGATAGTTTAACAATAGTTAACTAACCTTTGTTTAATGATAAGTTGTAAGTTAAGTTACCATTATTGTTATTTAGCTTCGTTGGCTTATAAACGCTTTATGTTGTGAACCCAAAAACATTGTAAATTATAAAGAATTTTGTAATGAATAATGAAACTATTGACTTAGGAAACATGTTTTTCAGTTAAACGGAGAATTAATTTTTCAATTAAATACATGAAAACATTATCAATAAAGAGCATACTAAGTGACTTCTCAAACTTATCATATAGTTTTAGAAACAATCACGAAAAAGACTTAAACCCACGAGCTTAGAAGAAGTCATATTTCCCAAGAGGGATTTAACGAACAGTAGAGAAGATATCAAGATATCATATCAATGATTGTAACTCTTTGTATCAAGAAAAATACTGATGTTTGTAAAAACTCTTTACCTTGGATTATTCGATAAATTTATAATGATTCAGATTGTACATTCCCTGTTTATAAGATTAAAATAAACTTAAAATGAGTCATTGCCTTTTCAATAATTTTCCCTGCCTTACGATTATTACCAGTGTATATTTACTATGTGAAAAGTAAAAAAATATTTTGTTTATTGTCTGTACATAAAGGAGGTCGATGGGTTGTGGCATTTGTAACCTTTTACTTTGCTAACTTGCTTCAGTTTAAACTTGTATGGTAGGAATTCAAGAGTTTGTTTTGCTTTGCAAACCAGACTAGAAATGGTGATTTTAATTTTAAATGTAACAGAGCAAAATGCAAGATATATCTCAATTTAAAACATACAAAAATTGATACAGCATTCAATAGAAATTTTATCACGACCTTTACGAACAATGGAATACATCTTCATTAAATAAAATTTAAGCTGTAACAATAACTTATAATTTGGCATGAATAAAAAATCACAACAAATCTTTGCTTAACATAAACCAAGTAAATGTTTAACCAAGTAAACATAAACCAACCATATCGTCAAGTGTGAGTTACATTTTTTGCAGCAAGAGAAAATCGAGCAATTTGTATTCCAAGTATAGCTCTGCAATTTGCTTCTCTTTGTATGTTCAACAAAACAATGACTTGGCTGAAATGTTTTGTTTCAATTTCGATTAAAACCCAAGTAATCCGAAATAATCTTGAAATACAAATAATGCTGTGTTCTTTTATCAACAAAATAACTAGCCTTTGTTCATCTCTCCAATTAAAAAATTTAAATCAAATTTGAAATTAAATTTAGCTATAAATTTGGTGAGATACTCGTCTTGATATACAAATGTTTTAAGTTCTTTCCCCAGTGAATAGCAAGTTGGTTCAGCAAATTATGCAAAGGATAATCAGCAAGTTGGCTTTTAAATATTCTTTCTATTTTAGCAATAGTTTCTGTATAATATTGTGACCGTAAATAAATTTTGATGGCAAAATGGTCCTCTTTATAAAATACTTTCGTAGTCAGCCTTTCCTAATCAAATGTGATTTGTTTTTACACGATTTATGCTTTCTTCTTACAATACATTCCAAAAAATAAGATAGCCTAACTACATTGTTAACCAAAGCTAAATAATTGTAATCTGTGAGTATGAGTAGAAGAGATTTCAATTCAAGTTGGTAATGACTTTAATAACAACCTCCGTGAGAAGGTTACAAGCATTACTATTTCGCACTCGTAAAAAAATAAACATAATATTAATGGTGTTAGTGTATCTAAGCTGCTCTGTATTTATAAATTTGATGGCAATTGATAATTCTAATAAATAAATGAATCAATCTATTAAGAGGAAAGTGTAGTCTAACCTGCAGACGGATATATATATTCAATAAATTAGGGGGAAAACCTAATTTAAGGATTAAAAACATACTAATTTTAATCAAAACTGGAATTTTTTTATACAATTTTCTCTTATTTTATGGGTATTTATAGGAAAATTGCATCATTTACAATAACCTTTGAGCCGTCATTTTTATGTTATACCATTTTGTTCAGAATTTAAAAGGCTACAACATACTAAATCTTTATCAAAATCGTTCAATTTTTTATATACAAAAAATGGTTTCCGTTATTTTATGGGTTTTTAAAGAAAAATTGCCATTAAAGAAATTTCAAAACATTAAAAAACGCCTAGAGATACCATGGATTAGTACAAACATACCAAATTTCATCAAAATCTGACCACAGGTTTACTCTGTAGCGTAGCTCTGTACACATACACACACACACACCACCACCACCACACACACACACACATCACTTCGAAAACCACTTATTTGGGTCCAGGGGGGCCCAAAATTGATATATCCACTCAAAACTCAAACTCGAAAATTTTGACGAAAAAAAACAATACTTTCTCCATATACTTATGGTATAGGGGGAGAAAGTAAAAATTATTTGGCAAAAATTTGTGTTGACAAAGGGTCTAGGAACATTTTTATAAAAAACCACAGTATATTGTAATCTATATAAATAAAATTACAGTTTTGTCTGTACATTGCTTAGAATCATGCAGTTTTTGGTTATTTTTACGTTTCATAGCCTAAGAAAGCCGAAACGAGTCTTATATCAATTTCTGTCTGTATGTCTGTCTGTCCCTTCTGTGACTCCGTCTGTAACGCCAAAATGTCATTTTACGCGGTCTATTCCTAGAAAACTAGAGTACCGATCAAGGTTCTAATCATTTTTCTGTATTTACTGGATTGGTGAGTGTGTCTTTGGCTATAAAAACATGGCCTCGCTTCTTTGAAGACAAAATAACGAACCACCAAAAACCCAATTTTGTTCGATTTTTGTCCAATTTTCTCTTAATGTTTACTATTAAATTTCATGAAATAACGATCAGCTGTTTGGATTAGTTGTCACTTCTAGCTGTCACTGATATGTTTACATTAAAAGTTGTTTACAAATACCGCAACCATTTCCGATAAAGTTTTGTCAGCACATCCAAACCAAGTGAGATTAAAAACGTTGTGGCTTACTTAACCGGTTTAATTAATCGCAAGTGCAACGATTGTTCTTGAGTTTTGATAACCGGGGAAAATACCGTGAATCAGTGTTGTATTAGTGCAAGGAAACTTACATTCTTTTAAAAATCGTCACCAATACCGTAGCTTACAAAGGTTTCCACTCATTGACGGCACTTCATGGACAGTTGTGTAAAGTACAAAGTAAAAAATCACAACTGCAGTGGGTGATCGTGGATGTTGCTGCAATCTTGGAAGATCTTTCTGATTTTGCTGTGATCGTAACAGAGGTTTAACTTACAGTTGTAGCTAAACTCGCTTTTTCAATGTGTCACTTTTGGTTTCTACTTACTAACATTTCGACAACGATATCGGTACTTTTCCTACTTATGAAGTAAAACTACAAACGTCCAAAACCCCAGATTTGTGCGTTTTTGTCACATTTCCTCCGAATGTTTGCTATAAGATATAAAGATATAAGATATATGTACCGAAAATCGTTTAGAGATCACGTAATATTTTAAATGAGAAACTTTTGTTTGTATAAAGGTGTTTTCTTCAAACTGTCATTAATATGTTACCATTAAAAGTTGCTTACAAGTAATGCTATTAATGGGAAATAACTTTGATTTTAGAAAACTTAAAAGAAATTTAAAACCAAGGGAGATTAATAACTTTGGTATTGCACCAAATCAAGTGAAAGTTTTTTTGAGCAAACCATAGTGAGTTTTTAAAGCTTTACGTTGTTAACTTTATATGTTACATGTTTTGTGGCCTGTGTATTTATTTATTTTTATATATTTGCCAACAGATTAACATCTATAATACAATTTGATTAGAAGGACAGTTTAAATTAATTTAAAGTTTAAATTAGTCGTAAGTACTACAGTTCTTTTCTTAAACGTTGGTTTTTGGTACTACTACTTTTCCTTATAACCGGTGGTAGCGCAGTAAGAATCATTTTTACATACAAACACATCACTATTTTCACTATTTATTTATAAACACTGCACCTTATTGCTTATTAAATTTAATTGATGTCTTACTGTATAATTTTTAGTGTTTTCTGTATGGACTCCAAAATGTTTGTGTGGACTCAATTCTGTATTTTGTGTGTGCATATCTATTGGTAACGCATTAATGAAAATTTTAACCCGAAT